TCACAACTGCACAAGTATGGATATTCATCTGAACGCAAATTATGTCACTAAAATTGTATTTTTTCTACTTGAAATAATACAAGATATCCTTCAACTACTTGTCACTATCGCTTCTGCAAAGTTCATCTCACACACCTTTGTGTATGTATATATGTATTTTAGATATGTGACGTTGTGTTAATGTAAGCTCAAAGTGGTCATTTTAAAAAGGTTGTAGGTTGATAAACCATGGTGCTAACGTCGATATCTATTGCTTCTCTTAATAGTTGGAACAACTAGGTCACGGCCATTACACCTTTGCGGATTAATTCGCAGACACATTCACACAACTAGATGAATAGCATCGCTAAGCAAATAAAACCGCTATTACCATAGAAACCGTAACACATCCAATGCAAATTTTTATTGACGATATAAGATTTTTTGTTGTTATTGAACTACATTCTTTGGAAGTTGCAACAATTGAACTTTAGCAACGCACATACAGACATACACATATAGAAGCTCATCACGCTTCGGCAAATGTTTACAAAACGAACGTGAACGTGAACATGAACGTGGACGTGTGCAATCATTCGTTCCACATGGATTAATTTGCGAAAATTATGCAATAACTGATACTTATACATATAATATATATGTAAGTGCATTGATTGTCTTTTATATTTCACGATTCAAAATATTCTCTTTTAATATCTATACACTTTTGCACGCACGCGCACAAGTTGTCGAAACATTTGAATATTGCCACTCTGATTGAGGTATCTCCAACACAGGAGTTCTGAACGCATCAACCCCTTCTTCAGAGGTCGAAAAGCGTTGACCTCATAGTTTATCTTTTACGTATGGAAATAAAAAGAAGTCATTTCGTGCTTAATCAAGGCTATACGGTGGATGACTTGTCAAATTGATGTTATAAGTGCTCAAAAATACAATCGGTGAATCGTCCTAAACAGTGGACAAGCCGGGATTGACGGCCAGGAAGATTCTGCTGTGTGTTTGATGGGATTGGAAGGGAATCATCCACCATGAGCTGCTCCCATATGGCCAGTCGCTTGATTCCACCATCTACTGCGAACAACTCTACCGCTTGAAGCAGGCGATCGAGCAGAAGCGTCCGGAATTGGCCAACAGGAAGAGTTCCACCAGGACAATGCTAGACCACACAGTTCGTTGATGACTCGTCAGAAACTACGGGAGCTCGGATGGGAGGTTCTATCGCATCCACCATCTAGCCCGCACATACCGCCAAGTTATCCACCACCTGTTTCTGTCCATGCCGAACGCCCTTGTAGGTGTAAAATTGAACTCAAAAGAGGCTTTTGAAAACTGGCTGTCTTCGCCAATATATGTGAACTAAATCTCATCACTGTAACACTTTTTATAAAGCATCGAATAAAGAGCAAAAAAGCGGAAAGGAGATACTTGACAACCAAATATTATATATAGGCTAGTTCCACCTATGTCTAGAGTTTTTTCAATTTCACGATAGGCCACATGACGATTTCAATAACAGTTTGCGCACAGCATCAATAGTTTCCGGAACAACAACTGATTTTGCATGAGCTTCCCGGAATTCGTAGTGTAGTGATCTACAGCCTCAATTGAATTCCCACTACCGTCGATAAACACTGGTTCTTGATAAAGTCTCAATCCCAAAAGCTTTATTAAGTTCATCAATGCCCTGTTGCTGGTTAATCCACGTCGAAATTTGTGGCATTAATCGAGCGAAAATGTTCGGGATTTAATTAAATTCGACCTCTTCAACTGATTATTAAAAAAGTGAAGGATACAACATGTGTTAGAGAGATTGCAAGAGAGCTCGACATGTCTCGCAAGTTCATTTGAATGATTTTTTGTTTTTTTAATATTTTAGGTAAGGAAGACGTTCCTCCTCTACTCGCCCCGACAAAGCTGTCTTTTTTTCAAAACAAGTGCCGTAAATAGGTCTCTTCCGACATGCTTCATTGTGTGAATTCCGATTCCAATTGAGGCCAACCCAAAAAATGCTTATGAAAAGTGTTTCGAGTACTGGAAAAAATCGTTGACATAAGTACATTACATCTGATGGGGATTTTTAATTTTATTTACACATTTTTTGCAAATTTATTTAAGTCATTTTAATAATAACACAGATTCTATATAAAACTGAATACTATAACAAAAAAAATCTTTTTTGGTTTTTAACTATTTCAAAAAGAACAAATAAGCAGAAACAAAATTTTGTCACATACTTCTCACCGAAAATTACGCAAGTGAGAACTTCCGTTGCGCATTTGGGACATTCTCAACGTCAAATGTGAGCACAGCAGTGAAGCAAGGCAACTTGCCAGCAAGTTTGTAAACAGCGTAGCTAGAACACTAAAAGAGTTGAGATAAGAATTGCAGAAAAACCGATAGCAAATTGCCACTGCTGCCGGCAGCAGTGCCACTAGTGTTATAGATGAAGGTCGCTTGTCACAGCAACATATAAAAATTGCAAAACATAAGAAAAAAAAAGCATTTACTTCGGAAGAACCGGAGCTATAATACCCTTCACAAGTAAAAAAGTTTCCATGCAAGACTTTGCATTTGATCGTACACTTTATATGACAGCCGGGTGCTCCGATGTTCTGATATCGGCGGTTCACACAAATGAGCATTTTCTTGGAAAGGAAAGAAAGAAAAGTTTCAAACGATACTTCAGTAACGTTATGCTGATCATTTATATCTATGCATATATAGTATTTTACATAACTATACGAAGATTCCTTCTGGGTGTCACAAACTTCTGGGTAAACTTAATAACGTTTGATAGTAATGTTGATCACATTTAGTGAACTTTAAGTGATAACCACTATGCACGATCAGTCGCTGCTAACTTGTCTTGATCTCTGTATACATATGTATGTATATTTACATATTTGTTCTTACGAAAACTTTACACAGAATTAAATCTGCAACATTTACCTGCAAACACTTGTTCAAATTGTAATGAATAAACATTGAAGTGTAACACATAATTGGGACACTGCAATCGGCTGTCGGCTCTTCGCTGTCGGCAATGGAAGTGCCTTAGAGACACTACGCCAAAGAATGGAGATCGCCAGCTGCCGGCAAAGAACGCAAACTGTAACGCTTTGAGCAGACAAGTACTACATCTGTTCGTCTAAGTATGTAATGGGTGGTCCAAGTAGAGGTAGTTTTTTCAATAGCCTCTCACGCGTGAGTCTGGTCAAGCTATCAGGTTATTTTTGTTCATTATTATTTGGCACTGCGTGGAAAGACTTACGTCTGAACAACGTTCTGTAAAGATTGCGTTCCGCGCTTCGCTCAACTTATGGTAACATAATCGACCTACTGAGCTTACTATTCGCAACGCCATCACCCATCTTGAGACCCAGCATTCATTATTGGATAATATTCGGCCAAACGTCCAGCACGCAGTAAAGAAAATATACACGAAGACCATGAAGCGCCGATTCGGTATGGCTCGGAGAAACTCAGAGTAACGTATGGAACGACTGAAATTCCAGGTAGCAGCGCTTCGCTCTGTGGATCTTGAAAAGTTCTAAAAAGACCCGACGTTTTCGAGCCAAATTTTGTTCAGCGGTGAGGTCCATTTCTAGCTGAGTGGGTATGTAAATAAGTAATATTAACACATTTGGGACGAAAAGCAATTTGAAGGGATGCAAGAGCTGCCATTTCATCTAGAAAAAACGACGATTTAGTGATGTTTGTGGGTCTTTGAAATCATAGATCCATATTTCCTCAAATGTGATGCCGGTGAGAACTTAACTTAACTTAATGGCGACCGCTATCGCGCCATGATAACGGACTATTTGATGCCTGAACTTGAGATTCGTGTTCTAGCCGACATTTGATTTGAATAAGGCGGCGCCAACTCCCACACAATACATGAGTTAATGGATTTATGGAGAGAACTCTTCGGTGAGTAGATAATTTCATGTTTTGGGCCGGTCAATTGTCTACCAAGATTGTGTCATATCACACCGTTAGACTTTTTCCTGTGGGGATATGTAAAGTCTCAAGTCTATGTAGGCAATCCCGTATCCATTCAGGCCTTGGAGCAAAATATCACGCGTGTTATTCGCATTTACCCTTCAAAATGCTACAACGAGTAATTGAAAAGTGTTCTCAGCGGATAAACGTAGCCGCTACCAAAAGTTGAAAAATATAATCTCCAAAAAGTAAATGCAAAAGATTGTTATTTCGAGTGATAATAAACATTCCACATTAAATTTGCAGTTTCTGTTTAGGAAACCTCGAAATGGATCACCCTGTGTGGGCTTGTATGTTGTACAAAAGTTAAATGCACATTTTAGTCTGTGATTTTGCTTGCATTTTCGTCTTCTTGGGGCAACGGATGCAAAGTGCCGCAGAAACATCATTTGGCGAACATCAATGAATAGAGATGTGCAAATGCATGAGCTCACGAGTGAATAAATGAACGCGTGAACGCCGCCGCTGATAGAACGTCTACTGCAGCTATTTTGGCTGAAGCAAACGCCGTTGGCTGATGGCTAATACGCATATGTATCTATATATACGTATATACACAAACCAAGATTTCAGAACTGATTACAACAAAAACGCATAACTATGTCTATTTGGAGTTCGTTCAAAGGGGAAATGACAATTGGTGTCTGCAAAAAGAAAATAAGTCGGTTGGTATGTATGTGTGCTGGCAGTGAAACAGCTGCCGCATCCACAGCAACAACAAAGTGGCACCGGCAGCGGTAATTGTTCGAGGCCAATTATTGTTGCACTAACAGTTCGGTTTTCAGCTATTGTTGTTTTTGTTCTCACTATTGCATATTCACAATTGTTGTTAATGCATTGTCTGAGGTTGTTGCAAAAAGACTTAACTAACGTCTTCATTTACAACAAATATTCACTTTTCTGGTATTAAAAGGTAAAATATAAAAGAGTGTGAACCGTAAGTCGGTGGCATCAGTCGGTGTTCTCATTCAAATTGTAACGCAACATAAAGCGAAGGAAATAAAAAATAACTCGAAAACGAAAATTTCAAACAAAAAAACTAACGCACAGATCAAGACGAAGCGACCGGTGTCTTTGCTATTCGGAATTAAGGACAGTCACAGGACTGCGAATAGATAGTAATAAACCGCAGTAAAAATGTTTAGATTGGTAAGTAGAGTGCGGAGGAAGATGGAAATATGAAAGGAAAAGTGCTTGCGACTGCATCAAATAAATGTTTGCTAAAGAAAGGCAAAGTATTTATTAATTTTTGAAAGTCCAAGGAGCCACTATTCCGACAACCAGACCACCGATTTTTTCTCTCAAGACAAATCAAGTACGAAAACAGAATCCCAAAGTCAAGGATTAAAAGGAGTGATAAAATACTGGTTCCGATTAACATTTTAACAATAGCGTTTCAACATTCCATTAAAGCGAAGACTGTATACCTTCCCAATTTGGGAACAACGAAAAAACATTTATAAACAACGAAAAATAATATCGTTTTTTTTTTTTTGTAACATTCTCCGAAAGTGCTTTAACCTCTGTGTAATATAATGGGCGGAGGATCTGAATGGTCTCCAGTTAGTTGTCAGAAGATATTGCACCACAGGAATATGATTTACTTATTTTCATTATCGTTGCCATAACAACAGTTTTTAATAGATCGGTTGAAAAGTCACAAGGCCTACCAAACAGACAAACAATTTCTTATTTATTTTTGGCAAAATTACTTTCTTTATTCAGCAAAGTTCCCTTCAAGGGTGATTCACTGATTAAAATGACCCACCAACTTTTCGATAGCATTTTTGTAATACGATTTATCCTGAGCTTCAAAATAGGCATCAGTTTTGGCGATCACCTCTTCATTCAACGAAAACTTCTTCCCAGCAAACATTATCGTGAGGATATCACAGCTGGAGGCCAGATCTAGAGAATACCGTGAAAGCGGAAGCAATTCGAAGCACGATACATGGGTTTCACGTCATTTCCCTGACTTGTAAAAAAAATATTTTATCAATAACTAGATTCTAGTAGCTTCATATACATACATACATGACCAAAATTTAACACAAATACGTTAAAAAAATTTTTGAAAAATTCGGCAAACAGTAATGATTCGACTGACATAAACAGCTATTGTAAACACACTGGTTGACCGCGTTAATTTTTGGCGTCATAATTAAGGACAGTTGTACCAACATAGGAAAAAAAATGTACCTGTCTTCAATATAAGCGAGAGATGAGAGTAGGAAAAGAAGAATTCCCGATATTTTCTTGGCAAGGTGTATGTGTCAGGCTGGGGACTTTCAATTGACCTATTATGTACGATAATCGGAAGGTATGAGCAAAAGTTAGTCCTAAAACTGAGATGGATTAGTCGGACAAAATTCGCGCTGTTGAGGGATTCGAGTAATCAATAATTATGTATTTCTCAACCAGTATACTTATTTTCTATTCAGTCCTCGGTTGCCACCGTACTTCTTTACGCAACGAAAGACAATTAGACAAATTGCGATAACACAAACATATAGAGAGAAGGTTTTACCAAGCTAATATTCACTTCTACCGTTGGTTTCTGCTGATGTTCATTGACACTCATATTCGAAGTAATCCAATGACCATGCAAATCGATTCAAGGGCAGGCAAGTGGTAAATCTACCTCGGGAACTGGAATTTCCATATTACTTAAAACAATTGTCCCTCCAAAAGGTAGACACAGATGTAGAAAAAAAGTGGTTGGTCCTGAATTCAATTCTCTAAAACTCGTAACCGATTTGAATTATTGACTACCAAAAAACTCTCTTTTCCATAGATTTTCAGGGAATAAGTATTTGTTCTTTTTCATCTGAAAAATAATTAAAATTGCTTTAATTATATAATTATAACTGACATAGTAACCTCTCACTTTCACCAATTTCTCACTCTATTCTGATTTTAGTCTCTTATTCTCTTCACCCTCGTCGCCTTGGCCAGCGCACGTCCTGGCTATCTGCATGGCCATTACCCACACATTGACTACCCATTGTTACCTCATCATCATGAACCTTTACATTTGACTAAACTGGTGCACATACCGGCTGCCATTTCACATCAGAGCTCAACAGTTATTCACAGCGCGCCAATCATTAAGCCAGTTGTGGTGCCGGTGCTGAAGACCGTCGTGCATCCGATTGTCAAAACATATCATCCGGCGCCCATAATCAAGGCTTATCACCCTTTCGCTTTGGATCCGTACCATCATCACTACGATCATCATGACTTTCACCATTACCACTAAGCCGTGTGAATAATACTAATGACAACCGAAGTAGTGTCTATCAAAGGTGATGAGGATGACTGAGATGATGATGAATATGTCTAAAATTTGCTGGAAATCGCGCACAATTACTCGTAACATGTTCGAAGAGGCTAGTAAATTTCTAATAACAATTAACAAAACTTTTAAGGGCCGTTATTCTTTTTTATTTAATATGCGTCTATTTCATATTATAAGCACTAATATATTATGTCACGTAACCACTTCGGATGATTTCTATCGAATTTTATGTAATACCAATTTTCTGTAAAAAGAGCACAAATCCGTGAGGAGAGAAGAAGATGATGTTCGTTATAAATAAATAGCTTAATTGTTAATTAAAACAACAAAAAGCTATCCTGTTTTCATTGATTATTTATTATTTAAAAAGGAAAGTTAGGATCCTACAAATAAAATTTCGTTTTCTAAAAATACCCGAGCTCTTTCTCTGCTTAATTCCCTAATGAATTATGAGGATACTATTACTACGATGAGTCGTAACGTGCGTCCTCGTTTCGCTGTAATTCGCTCTGTGCAAATGCGACACCAACTATTAATGGCGCATGACTCGACATAACTGCTTGCATTATTCAGCCGTTGCATGGCCAGCTTGTAGCCTGAAGGCACAGAAATTATGAAAATAGATACTATTATATATTTTCACTCGGAACTCAATAACCCATTTGGTAAGTACAGTATCTGTGCATGGAATTATGTTTAATGGGTTAATAGAAGTTAAACAAAAGTTTAAAGCCTAACTGGTATTGATGCTATTGCAAAATATATTTAGTAGAAATTCAAAGACAAGGAGACCGATAGGGACAACAAAAAAACGGCAATATTATTACCAGTGAGTGCCGCCGCTAGCGCATTAATTGAGGAAGACCCAAATCAGTCTCTCATACGTGGTTCGCAAGCGTTGGGCATATCTGGACTTCTTTGTGGCGAATTTTACGAAAAAATCTTGACCTACATCGCAACAAGATCAAATTGACGCAAGAACAGCGGCTTCACCATCGTCGTATGTTCGTGAATTGGGCTGGCTGAGCAACAATGGGTAGTACTTCAATAATAACCGAATATTTTTAGCCCGAATTGTATGATTTGGACTTGAACAACATGTGGTTCTAACAGAATGGCGCCACAAGTGACACAGCGAATGTCAGTTTGGTAAAAGTGTTATCTCACGGAATGACCCAGTTAATTGGCTGCCTTTATTGTGTGATTTGACGGCGTTTGAATATTTCCTGGGGGGTCTATGGGAACAAGCCAGAGAAGATTGATAAAAAAAAAAAAAAAAAAAAAAAAAAAAAAAAAAAAAAAAAAAAAAAAAAAAAAAAAAAAAAAAAAAAAAAAAAAAAAAAAAAAACAAATTTCTGTAGCATCCGTTACTTTTATCCACTTATTCGATATTCATCGCTCACACGAACGACTCAAAGATCTTGCGAAAAACAGTTCACTCGATTGCTCTAAGTGATTTCCCATGTGGGTTGGTCACTGTGCATGTAATAGAACGGGAATGTTGTGAGACTTATTGATCGTAAGTTTTGGCTCAATTGTCTACCGATCACAAAGTAGTATCTGTTAACAAATAAGCTCTGAGAAGCTCAATCTAGGTTTTAATGGAGCTGATATTTTACTGCATGACGGTATGAGTTTCGAAGAGATTTCAAATTTAGACTGTCAGTGGAAACAAAGGCGACTTTGAAATCGACAAGGATAATCCCGTGATAATTAGTGCAGACTGTATAAGTTCTCTTCTTATGCATAGGACAGAGTACAGACAGAGATAGAAGAAATTAGAAACCAAATTCCATGAATTCCGGACTGAAATTAAGGAATACCGTTAGTATTTTTATAACTTATCCGATTTCCTGCTCTCTCTCTCTCTCTTTCATTTATTCATCGAGCATGCATTTAAATAAAATGTTGGAACTGTCTGAACTAAGCGATTACGCTAATAAAGACAGTAACTCAAACACTGTTTGAAATATCGACTAAAAGTTTTAGTGCGTTGTTCTAGGGAATATTTTGAAGATAGATAAACATTAAATATGTTTATATAATACGTAATGAACCGATGGTTTTTTTCTTTTTTTCACATTTTTAAAACCAACGGTTCTAATTTGATGGCTGGTGACTGTATAGTGAATGCAACAATGCCATTTTGATTGTCACTATATAAATGTCACATGTTGGTGCACTAGTTGTGTTTTGCATATTCTCTTGCAACATTTCCCTCACATAATCAGGTGCTAATGGTAAAAGCCTACATACTACATATTTCAACATAGTACATTACATATCAAAATAATCTTAAACACATAATGTATGTATATATATACATTTGTATACATAACAAGTAAGGAGGCCTAAGTTTGGGAAAACCCGAACTTTTCTTACTCTTTAAATTGCAACAATTGAAGCCGAGGTAATACTTTAAGGTACATAAGGCTTGTTAGTTATATAGAACCTTGATCAAGTTATCATCCAATATTATTAATTTTAAGATAACTCACATGCTGGCTATCATATAAGGTATAAAGTCACCTGGAAGTTCGAAAATCATTGTGTTAGGTATATACAAGTTAAGAGAAGTACTGACACCATTCGACCCATTTTTGACACACAAACAAACCATTAACAGGAAAGGATTCTCTCCAAATGTCAATAATATATCTCACACATTGAACGATGTTTTCGTTAAAAAGTCAATTATAGGCGCTGGGATTCACATATTGGATAAATAAGGGCTTGAACGGTATTGTACTGATTTAGATAATTTCTCCTCATACATAGACAAACTTCAGTGAGAATTTTAAATGAAACAATGATTGGAATGATTGGCAGACAAGACGTCCAAGTACCTACTAACAAAAAATAGTTTATCGTTTTTTCTTAAGGCAACGGTCTATTTAAGAATGTAGTTTGTGTATTGGCGACTGCTCCGGAAGAAATATTTTTAGAATTGATATGTTGACAGTGTCAACAACAGTGCAAACATTGAACTATAAATTATTGACTTTCATTTAAATAATTACAATATCTTTATTCCGAAACCTTCACTTTTAATAATATGGCATTATTATTATATGTAACTTGATTCTATAATTAGCATAGTTGAAGGTACCGTAATCTCCCGATAACATTTGGTTCAGCATTTTACTCTCATTATATACGCACCAGATCAAAAGTTATGTTAATTAATAAAATATATAGTTAACATTGATAATAATAATAATCAAAGAGAGAAAAATTAGTAAGTATTTATACCGATTTAATTAACTAGTCGCGTATTATTTTGTATCTAGTTCAAAGGTACAATTATTTCGTTGCTTTTATATAATGTAATTTTAGAATATACGAGAATTTGAAGCTAACAGGGGATATTCGATTCAAAACACGTTTAAGATTGACTAATCGAACAAATAACCTATATAAATTGTAGAGACTTATATGAGAGAACATAAACGGCATAATAAGCGCTTATACCACTTTAATGAGGTATACACATATAATCCGTCATTGAATTTAAGTGGATATATACTCTATTGATTTCACATGCGATGTAACAGGACACTTGAGTAAAAAGGAATAATCTCGTGTCGATAAAATATTGCTTTTTGAAGAGAATAAAACTAATTGGAACAAAACCTTGCCTTGATGACAAGTTTCTGGATACTGCCTCGGGAAAATCAACAACCAAGGATTGGTATCCCATGCTCAGGCTTGGCGTAATGACATCCGAAGACAGTGAACGCAGTGGACGCACAAAAGAAGTTGTAACGACCAAAAACATCAAAAAAGTCCACAACATAATTTTCAATTACCGTAAAGCAAAGTTGGTCGAGATTGCAGGCACTCTAAAGATATCAATTGAATGTGTACAACATGTCATTCCCGAATATTTGGTTATGAGAAAGCTCTGTGAAAAGGTACCTCACGAGCAAACTTTTTATCAAAAACAACAGTTGATCATTCAGAACAGTGTTTGGAGGTGTTCAAAGTAATAAAACTGAGTGTTTGCGTTCATATGTGGCAATGGATGAAACATGGCTACACTATTTCGCTCCAAAGCCCAATCGACAGTCATGCAAGTGGCCTACACAAGATGAACCCATTTCAAAGCGTTGACAAGCGCAAGAGTGAGCTGCCAAGTGTATACAGACTCCATAAACTTGGCAGCTGACTCTTGCGTTTTGAAATGCGAATGGAATAATTTTTATACTCTCGCAACAAAGTTGCTAAAGAGTGTATTATAGTTTTGTTCACGTAAGTCCTAAAACTAAAAGAGTTAGATATAGGGTTATATATACCAAAGTGAGGGTGACGAGAAGAGTTGAAATCCGGATGTCTGTCTGTCCGTCCGTTCGTGCAAGCTGAAACTTGAGCAAAAATTGAGATATCATGATGAAACTTGGCGCACGTATTTCTAGGCTCCATAGGAAGGTTAAGTTCGAAGATGGGCAAAATCGGAAACTCCCACAAAATGGCGAAAACCAAAAACGTATGACAAGTGTCATAACTAAGCCATAAATAAAGATATTAAAGTGAAATTTGACACAAAGGATCGCATTAGAGAGGGGCATATTCGGACGTATTTTTTTTGGAAAAGTGGGCGTGGCCCCGCCCCCTACTAACTTTTTTGTATATATCTCGAAAACTACTATAGCTATATCAACCAAACTGTATAGAGTCGGCATTTCCATATACAGTTCAAAAATGGAAGAAATCGGAGAATAACCACGTCCACCTCCCATACAAAGGTTATTTTGAAAATCACTAAAAGTGCGTAAGCCGACTAACAAAAAATTTCAGAAACACTAAATTTTACAGAAGCAATGGCAGAAGGAAGCTGCACTCAGGCATTTTTTAAAAATTGAAAATGGGCGTGGCGTCGCCCACTTATGGACCAAAAACCATATCTCAGGAAGTACTCAACCCATTTCAATGAAATTTGGTACATAATATTTTCTTAACACCTGATGTACCAAATATGGGTGAAAGCGGTGCACAACCACGCCTGAAATCTCTATTATCACTTTATCATGCGAGAGTATAAAATGTTCGGTGACACCCGAACTTAGCCCTTCCTTACTTGTTTTATTTTATTTTTAAAAATTGAGAATGGGCGTGGTGTCGCCCACTTATGGACCAAAAACCATATCTCAGGAACCATTCAACCGATTTCAATGAAATTCAGTACATAATAGTTTCTTACCACACCCTGATGACATGTACGAAATATGGGTGAAATCGGTTCACAACCACGCCTTCTTCCAATA